CTTCCCAACCCAGTGTCCCCCTCACAAATGTGCATAGTACCTAGGTTCTTGCTTGTGAGGCCCACTCACAAACTCTGCAGATGATAACCCTACACACTCTCATTCTTTATGCCACAGAACAGAATGCACGAAAGTCTTCACCTATTCAACAGCATCTGCAATCACAAGTATTTCGCCACCACCTCCATTGTTCTCTTTCTCAACAAGAAAGATCTCTTCCAGGAAAAAGTGGCCAAGGTGCACCTCAGCATCTGCTTCCCAGAGTACACAGGTAACATTGCTTTCCTCCATTCTAGATAGTGAGCTACTATAAGACCCATGTGCCCACATGTCGTTCCCCCCGCAGTGTGTGTGTGGGGGGGAGTGGTGTTCATGCAAGTTGTGTGCATGCCTGTGCAATCTCAGACTGTTACCTATGTCTTCAATCGCCCTCCAGCTTTAAAAAATGGTTAATTTTCACCGTGTATGTGTGTGAGCTCAATAATGAGTTTATGTGCACCACATTATGTAGTGCCCTTGGTAGATGGGACAGGATTCTGGATACCCTGAGAACAGTGAGCCACCATGTGGGCTCTGTGAACCATATCCAGGTCTTTAAGAGGGGAGTAAGTGCTTATAAACTCTGAGCAATATCCCCAGTCCTCATTCCTTATTTCTTTTTGAGACATGATCCCTCACAGAACTTGTAAATTATCTATGCACATAAACTTGCTGACCTTTGAATTTCATGAATTCACTTGTCCCCATCCTCCCCCTCACCTCAGGCTGGGGGTTGCAGAAGCCCACTGCTACACCCTAGTTTATACATGGGTTCTGGGGATCCAAACTCAGGTCCTCCTGCTTGTATGTTAGGCAGTATACTGTCTAAACCATCTCCCCTGCCCTATTTGGATCCACTTATTTTATTTTAATTTTTTTTCATTTATATACATACCAACCACAGTTTCCTCTCCCTCCCTGTCTCCCGTTCCTCCCCACCTCCCTCCTATCCAACTCCAATCCACCTCTCAGAAAGGGTAAGGCCTCCCATGGGAAGTCAACAAAACCTGGCACATCAAGTAGAGGCAGGACTGAACCCCTCCTCACCTACATGAAGACTGAGCAAGGCATCCTTCCACAGGGAATGGGTTCCAAAAAGCCAGCTCATGTACCAGGGATAGAGCCTGGTGCCACTGCCATGGACCATACAAACAGACCAAGCCACACAACTGTCACCAACATGCAGAGGACCTAGTTAAGCTCTGAGAAACTTCTCCAGCTGTCAGTCCAGAGTCCATGAGGATCCATAAGCTCAGGTCAGCTGTCTCTTTGGTTTTCCAGTCATAATCTTGAACCCCCTTGCTCATATAATCCCTCCTCCATCTCTTTGATGAGTTATGAAGCTCAGCCCCGTGTTTGATTGTGGATCACAGCATCTCTTTCCATCAGTTACTGGATGCTAAGATGACAACTAGGGTGGTCATCAGTCTGATTACAGGGGAAGGCCAGTTCCGGTGCCCTCTCCACTATTGCTAGGAGTCTTTGCTGGGGTCATCCTCATGGATTTCTGGGAATTTTCCTACAATTAGGTTTCTCCCTAATTTCACAATGGCCTGTCTATCAAGATATCTCTTTCATTGCTCTCCTTAACATGACTGTGATTCCAGCTGAAAGCAATCTCTCAAATAAAGAGGAAATCTGCTGTACTGTATATATTAGAGCAAGCCCCAAATGGAACAAACTAGAAAATATTAGAAAGCAGAGAGTAGCTGCTCTTTATACAGATCCAATGACACTGCAAGCTATATTACCTTCAGTATAATAATGTCACTGTGGTGCCACCCTTACTAGAGCTTGAAATGTCACATTGGAACTCAGTGGCTCTTCAGAATATTCAGTGTGGCCAATGAACAGTAGGAATGAATTTGAGAACAGTGGTACTTCTCTTTCTCTGCCCTCCTGACGTCCCCATATTTGACTGCTGATCCTGTCAGTACCTACTAAGTCATTACTGTCACACAAAAGGGTTGATTTACCTTTAAAGACTCATTTTTTAAGTACTGAGATACACTCTTATTGATCAAATTATCTAATATGGAAATGGTCATAATTAAACATAACTACAAATCAAAATTTATCCTGTATGTACAAAGAGCATGGCAGTCACTGGTTAATTTTTAGTGTGTGTCATTCTGTCTACTCATCTATCATGTGATAAATACAATTATGAACCTGTATTTCATGGTATAGGTTAAATAAAGACATAGTTAAGGGATACATATTTAATGCAGCTGCTTAGAGAAGGTTTTGTTCACAGGGAACAAAATCCTTTGAGAGCACAGAGATTTTGTGTGCCTTCTCGGTTTCCCATAACATAGTATTTTATTAGTTAGCATCACATATTGATGTTGTACTTGTTGTAATTGATGTAATGATGTTGACACATAATTAACTGAAATCCTCAGTGTAATTAGGGTTTGCTCTCTGTGTCTGATAGTTCTATGTATTTTGCTAAATGCATGTCATGTTAATTAGTTTTCTGTTAAGATAACAAATGTCTGAGGTAAATCAGCTGACCAAGAGAAAAGTAGTTTTTTAAATCTCACAATCTGTGAAGTTACAATCAATGTTCAGTTGGCACTGTTACTTTTCAAGTCTGTGGCAATGAAGTGTGGCATGGCAGGTCCTGTTAGCTTCCTGTCAAGAAGGAAGCGAGAAAGAGATGGGCATCCCACAGGCCCCTTTGAAGGCACATGCTTAGTGCCCAAAGAAACCTCCCATGAGGCCCCAACTTTAAGAGTTTCTATTACATCAACTAGTACCAAGTTAGGGACCAAACCTGTAACAAATGGGCCTTTGGGGGACATTCAGATCCAAATTAGAAAATTAGTATAGCATCATATGCAATAGTTCTGTTTGCCTACTATCACCTAGGTTTCACCTATATATACTTTCGTTATCCCTCCAAAATCTAGAAACCACAGATATTTCAAATATTATGATAGTTTCACATTTTTCAGAATCTCAAGCTCCTGGGATGACTCAGTGTCTAGTCTTCCCCAGAGATTGGAAGGAACCTTTTGCATTCTCACTAGCAATGATTACAGTGATTTTGTATTCTTGTCAGGATTTACTTTCCAAGTTTTTTATTTTCATTCTGCTTATTTTATCCTACTGTGTTTTAATTAATTAATTTATTTATTAGTTCATTTCTTTACTAGAACTGGGTGTTGAACTCATGGCCTGTACATGCTAGGCATGACCTGTTCTTCTGAGCCACCTTCCCAGCATAGCTGTCTTCTATGGTTTGAAGACTTTGTTTTCATTCTAGAATTTTGCTGTGAGCAACAAGAAAGCATGAAAGCAAAGAAAAATTATCCCATTAGAAAGTGTTTAGGGTGCTTTCTGCCATGTCCTCGACACATCTATTCTGATGCGAAGCCAATCAATTGAAAAAGTTATTTATCAGTTTTACTGTTTCAGACCTGCCCTTCTCCATCTGATCTGGGTCCCATTCTACTAGAGTTTCTCAGGCTTAACTTTCTTCATGTATGGAGTTAAGAGTCACTCTCTATAATCTTCCTCATTGCAACTCAACTCCTCTGTTTCCCTGCCAGCCAAAACAACGAGTTTCCTTACTTCTCGTTCTATTTGATTCATACACTGCCTCTACATAATTTCATCCTTTCATTCATTCCCATCTGAAAAGATCTTTTAAATTTCAATCTATTTCACACCTCCATCCAGAAGGACTGTGGCTGGGGATACTATAGACCATGATCCGTTGCACATTTTGGCCATGCTTCATCCTTTCTCTTCTCAACTCTCTCTTAATACCTTGCTTAATACTACCTGTTTCTACAAACTAGTCTGCCACGGTCTTACTTTTTTTCTCTTTTGGATTTTATTAAACCATATGCATAACCACAGGAACACAAGATGCAGTATTTGTTTGTGTGAGAGAGAGAGAGAGAGACAGTTATCAGTGTCACTCACCTTGTTAGGTCGGTTTTTAATTTTTTTAAAAAAATTTAAATTATAATTGCATCATTTCTCCCCCTTCCTCCCTCTAGACCATCCAATATCTGACTATCATTTTCCTGCCCCGAGATTCACAACCTCCTCTTCTTTAATGTTGTTACATACTCACCCAAATGAATTGACATACAACTTTCAGAAATCTCAGCAGAGCTGACATAGAATCATAGAATACAATGTATATATGTTCATGTGTGTGTGTGTGTGTGTGTATAATGCTATGTAGGTACTGCACAAATCCCTAGAATCTGACCATTGACACCTTGACTTTGGAGTCGAGAGGTGATGTTCATAAGATTCCATACATCACACAGCACACATCCTATAAATTGATGGTGCTCTTTATAGCTCTATGATTTGTAAGATGTGATTAATATTTCCTGCTTTCATTTCTTTGCTCACTAAGGACCAAATACATTCGAAGATGCAGGGAACTACATCAAGAACCAGTTTCTAGACCTGAATTTAAAAAAGGAAGATAAAGAAATCTACTCTCACATGACCTGTGCGACTGATACCCAAAACGTCAAATTTGTGTTTGATGCAGTGACAGATATAATAATAAAAGAGAACCTCAAAGACTGTGGGCTCTTCTGAGCCACCTCTTTGTCTTCCATTTGTGATGGCTGTAGTCTGTTCAAAGACATTTAAGGTGCTCAAGGGGCTGTGTGATTAGTTTAGGTAGATGCTAACTTATCTAGAAACGTAACTCGAATTATAAAACAAAACTTTCACACAACAATGTGACTGCTGTAGTATCACCTGTATCTGGATAAAGTTTTATTTCCCAGGGGCGCGGAGGGTAGAGTTTCTGACATTCTCTGTATAGAATTTGATGCATCTTGGTAGCTATCACAATATATACTCATGTTACTAAACTCTCTTGAAGAAGAGTTACAAGTGACTAATTTTTAGTAAAAGAATAAATTACATCCCCCAGCTAGGTTTTGCTATTCCATGTCATGTCTGTACTACAGGAACTGTACAAAAATGATACAAGGTATGTTTTGGTGACCTGCTCTTCATTACCACAAAGCATACACAGTACATGCTTTTGCTGATGTGAAATTGCATATATACAATAAACATATACAATATTTCTAAGTTGCATGGGGTGTTATTGCAAGTGATAACCTGGGCTTTGGGGTGGCTATTCAAGAATTCAAGAGAAAAAGGTTCACGTAATAAAAATTTTCTGTCTTGTGGATTTGAGAAATAGCGGTGATCAGGAGAGTTTTAAATAATAGCCACTGAACTTCTCTGTTGGACCTTAGTGGTCTGTTCTAACTCTTTAAATTGGTGCCCTACAAGTTGAAATGTCTTACACAAAGATAAAGATGTCAGCCCTTTTAATCTTGTAGCACCTTTTGATGTCATTTATCCTTTGGCATTTGTGGAAATGAATATATAAACAGACTTTCAGACTAGTGCATCAAGTTTATAATCATTCCTGACAGATTAATTGGATTTTTTTAACAAGAAAAGAGTGATGCAAAGAACAAAAAATAAATCATTTGCCCATCTATAGCTCAGGGCGACCTTGGCATCTCGGTCTCTGAGAGCTACCACACTGCCACAGAACAAACACATTTTAAGTGTAAGCACATAGAACCATCTAAAGTCGGGGAACAATTCCCATTGGGTTATCTATGCCTTCTCTCTCCCCATTAAAAACCACAAAAGAAGTAAAAAAAAATTACTCAAAATGTAATCAGTTTTAACGTTCAATTCTGTAGAGTCAATACATTATTACAGACTATAAGATATCAAGAACAAGAGATGCATGAAGAGCTGATTAGTTCTGCTACCTGACAAGGCATTCTGGATGAGAATCAGTAACTCTCTGACAACTTCACAGCGTTTTGATGGAGACAGGCAGAGTCATAAGATTCTGAATTCAGAAAGCAAATATTTTAGTTTTTTCTGCTGCTTTTCTTTCTTCTTCTCTAATCAATTTTTCTCAGAGAATTTTCCAGGAAAGAAAAAATGTATTGCTTGAAATATTAATATTATTACTATTTTAATACTACTTTGGATTAATTAACCCTAGTTTTCACTTTCTAATGAAGAAGTCATAATAGTTCAATTTGTCTTTAGAAAATACATAATTATTTGTTGAACTCATGTGTTCCACAAAAGTCTTGGGGCTGGAGAGATGGCTCAGTAGTTAAGAGCATTGCCTGCTCTTCCAAAGGTCCTGAGTTCAATTCCCAGCAACCACATGGTGGCTCACAACCATCTGTAATGTGGTCTGGTGCCCTCTTCTGGCCTGCAAACAGAATATTGTATATATAATAAATAAATAAATAAATATTTTTTAAAAAGTCTTGAATTTACCATCTAGCCTACTCCTGATCCCTCTGACTCCATCTCTACTATTGATGCTATTACAGGCATGTACGATTATTCCCAGCAAGTTTGGGCTCTAGAAAAGAGTTGGATAGACAAAGTGATTACTGACTTTTTCCTACAGTTTCATAGTTGAACATAAAAAGAATCTTCCACAATATAGAAAACAGTACTAGGTATTAACTTCAATTAAGAAGCAAGATTTTTAGTAGGGATCAAAGCAAATGTTCATGTTTTCATTGTTGTGATCTTTAAAATCAAATCTACTTTTATAGATGCAAACATTTAGGGGTTAAGAAAAGTTATGATAAGAAATTGTAGGAAGAATGACTAATGCCTGAGAAATTCCCACAAAGAACAGTGATGCTAAAATTTCTGAAATTATAACCCCAGCCTGACTGTACATTCCGGTTCCTGATTGGACAGTCAGTAACCAAAAGCATCTCATAGAAGCATCCTTAGACTGTGCTCTATTCTCACGTACTCAAACACATAAAGGACGGTCAGGCTGAAATGACTGCCACACAGACACATGTACACATGATCATAATATTGGCTCCATCCTCTATTCTTTCAGCCTTCCTTCCCTTCTAGCATGAGAACACTCCCCACCTTTCTTGAATTCATCAATTTCCTGATTTTGACCAATGCAGACATATTGAGCTACCAGAAAAATCAGAGATGAACTTATCTAAGGGATTACTTTCAGTCACCATGGCACTTCTCCAGAGTACAAGCTGGCCAGTCAGCAGATGAGACTAGCGTGATAAGGGAATTGCTAAACGGGCAATGATGCCTTCATACCAAAATGTTGTGAGGGTTGTTGATTATGAGACAAGATGCTTCCTGAAAAGGGAATTCCAAATTCGGTAGAATGAAAAATATTTATGCGTCGTACATGTCAGCTACCTTGTTGATGAAAAAAGTGGATAAAACAGTCTTCATACATCTCATAAATGGCAACCAAGATGGTTAGACACCAAACATGATCTAGTATAAACATTCTTTCCTGGTCCATCACTCTATTTAAGCACAAAATGTGCCTTGAAACAGTAGCTGAGAATTACTTCTGCTTGATATCAGTAAGCAATCTAAACACAAGAAAAATATAAAACATTTGTGTGTGTGTGTGTGTGTGTGTGTGTGTGTGTGTGTGTCTTTATCATTTCAGAGTCAGAGAAACACGGGCTAAAATGTATGAGTAAGGAACATAAAATATTGGTAAGAATTATGGCAGAAGTTATGAGCTTTGTCATGTAGACTAACTATTTTTATCGGAGTGATCATTCTCTAAAAACCCATTTCTACTTCAGTGAATCCTTTTCTGAAGACATTTTTACAACAATTCTGCTGCCACACGGGGGCACACTGACATTAGGTTTCCAAACCAAGTGTTACAGCTGTAGTTTGGATTAACAATGACATTGACATAGCACATATCAGAAAAATGTGAAAAATTTCAGTTCGTATTGTCCTGCTGTGGCAGCAGTGCATGCTTGTCTCCTGATGATCACAAAATACAGCACACGTGACAGACCGTGGAAGAACCTCTAACTGTAGAAGTATGCAGATATAGATTCCGTGCATGGTCTTATTATACTTTTAGTGACTTTTGTTTAAATCTGAGTGACGATCAATTTCTAAATCTGTCCCCTCTATTCTGTACTATGTTTCAAATGCTGGTTAACTAACCTTGTGCTAACACACCATAACACAATGTTGAGTTCAAGAAAACAAGCTGATGGTTCACAGTACCTATGCTGTGAGTTGTAACCAACTGGCTGCTCATGAATGCGTGTTCTATCAGAAAACGGTTAATCACAGTAGAACGTCACCGCTAAATGTGGCGGACATTCAATTACTCTGCTTATTGCAATATTTTTCTCAGCCATCCCTCCACCACATCAGAGCAAACCCTTCACCGTGCCATCCTTTCTGATCCATGTGCATGTGTAATGACACACGTTTTCCTTCCAACCATATTTGTCACACCAGTGAGGAAGGAAAGAGTCACATAAATGAAGAAAGCACCCTAATTTTTATCATGGGGACAGGAATGGCTCTCCAATTACTCTGAACCTTTCAGAGAAGGAATAATGCATGAGACTCACAGTCAAAACCATTACTTTACTTGAAAGACATGTTTTCTAAAGTAGCCAAATTATTATAAAACCAAGCATACATAGGTGATTGAAAATTGTTGTATTTTGCTTCAATGTATATCACTAAGTTTTCTGTTATGACAAAGAAAGATTCAAATATTAAAGATTTTTTAATACGGCCAATAGAGCATATTTCAATTTTAAGCCATTAAAAATCTCAGACTGGAGAAAAACTAGATGATTGTACTTAGGCTCAGCATAGGTTTGCCATGCAGAGCACCCCATCCAGAGGAGACTATGACATCTGCTACAATTATACTTACAAATTTAAGAATTTGCAAGTTGGGTTGGTAAGATGGTTCCCAAATAAAGGCATTTGTCCTCAAGCCTGACAACCTGAGTCTGACCCCTGAATCATCATGGGATAAAGAAAGGGCTAATTCTCAGGAGTTGTACACATACACTCAGAGGCATACATGTCCCCCCACACAAAGAAACTAAACAGATGAATTTTAAAACTATAAATTTTTTATTCCACTTAAATATATGGATGTGCAAGTGTATATTTTTACACAAGGAATATAAGATAATTCACCAGCAAAGAAGCAATTGTGTTTCTCACTTAAGCAAAAAGAGCAATTCTGCCAATCCACAGAGTCCATAGGTACACAGGTCATTCCTTAACGTGTCATTTCATGTATAATACTATGTATGTCATGGATACTGACAGCAATGGCATGGCATTTCCACAATATGAGGTAAAATGTGGATACTTTGCTCATCAAAATACCCATAAATTATTTATGTTCCACAACAGTAGATACAAGCACTTGTTTTGAATAATTCTTCTCTCTGTAGATATAAAAAGTTCTGTGTCCAGCTTAATTATGTAGTGATTCACTATCTGAGACCACAGCATGAGAAGAATGTCTCTGAACTTCTCCTACCATTGTCCTCTGGAGGAGGATGGAAGAGAATGTCTGACCTTTCTCTAAAGAACAGCCTTTGTTTCTCCCGGTGGAAAAGGACGACGGTACAGACATGTCAAGAGGAGTCTGAAGGGATGTGCTTTATTCGATCACACACCAATTTTCAATGTTCAGACTTCATCAAACCTTAAAATAAAATGACAGTTCTCTGCTTCTTTGAAGTCTCTGTGTTCACATTTCACAAGTAAATTATGTGAAGAGTCAATAGTTGGGGCTCAGCACATGTAAGGCTCGTGGTTCAATCCCCCATTCTGCAGTAAAATAAACCAAAACAATGAAAACACTTGCCATAAGTGAACTCATGGAATTTTCTATCATTTTCCTTTGTTTTGATGGAGGGCATCCATCATGAACTTACAGACAAGGAAGGAAAACATATTTTCATCAACAGCTACCTGCCATGTGATCTTAGTTTCCCTACAGTTTTGTTGCCCTTTTTCATAGGATTTCTTTTAAACCTAAAACATCAGTGGAGGAAGATGGACAGTGACATTTTACACTCTGCCCTTCTATAAGATTTCGCTAAACTCTGAGATACCAGCAAGAAGTCGCCCACCAGGCATTCCATGAAGGATCTCTGGGAATAAGTTCTTCTGAAGGATGGATTCCCTACAGACAAACTACAGAAGTCTGAA